GAACGGTCTGAGCTAGGTACCTGAAATTTCGCTCGTCCCTAACTCAAAGCACGCACGGCGCAGTGCCTCTAGCAGAACCAAGTATCTTGACGCGACTCTAGTGAAACCACGCAACGCATTTTTTGACGATTTTTTAAGAACTAAATATTTTAATATAGGGAAAATTCCTCTATCGAATGGTATAGGTTTCAAAAATCACCCAAAAATGGAGATACGTGGCTTCACTAGTCGCGCAATGATAATGGGTTTCTTGAGCGTCGCGCACAGATACTTGCTTTCTCTAGAGGGGTTGCGCCGTGCGTGCTTTAATTTAGGGACGAGCGATTTTTAGTGTAGCTTTGTAGCATAATAAGTCCTGAAAGAACTAAATTGATTTTGAGCCCTCTAGATAAAAAACTTACCTGTCAGAAAAATCAAAAACGAAAAACCTTAAATATGAGATTTAATAAAATATATTATTTTCTTACAATTTTCCTAGATGTAGAACCCGCAGTGCCAAAATTTTGTCCGTTTAGCTCTATCTCTTACCGCTTAGTCGCCAGAGGGCGAATTCTACACGAAAATGGCCCTAAATCATCTTCATTTTGTTTTACCCCATGGGAACAGAATGGGCTATCTACGTGGACTCAACGTGTACTACGTAGATACATACACGTAGATCTATCCCTTTAGCCTCAAGGTGGATTCAACGTAGAAGTCGAGTGGACTGAACGATGGAGATTATTCACCGTGCAGTCTACGTCGATTTGTTACTTGCCAATCCCTCTCGACGATTATACATCTGATCCACGTAGACGTAAACTAGACGGTTTTTAGCGATGCGAAATATGTCGTTTCCACGTAGATGTATCGTTCTTTAGTCAATGTCTATTCGTCTACGAGATATGTACATAGATCAACGTATGATGTGACCTACATTGATGCGTCAACTTCACATCTCTTCGTCATTTTTGTTGATCTAGGAATGTGGGCGAAGAGAGGCTCTGTCGACATCGACGCAACGTTCACTAATCATTATGGTCTTGTACATCTCTCATCAATATATACGTTTTCGAACATGGTCCTTTCGCATAGCATTCACATACTGTTCTCATCAGGTTTGAAGGTGATGATGTCCGATAACTTGGTTCCTACTTTGGTCCAGACATTTTGCATTTTGCAATCGTAGAATCCATGTGGATGCAACGTCGTTGAGATACACAGATCGTTCTGGATAGAGATAGGTTTCAGTCGGCTTCCTCGCTAAGTTGTCACGGTGGCGTCGTGGTTAGAGGCGTCATCTACGGAGCAGCAGGTCCCAGGTTCAACTCCCGGTAAGGTATCAATCGAGTTTTCATTAGAAGTTGTTGTAATGAAGTATTCAGAGGGTCTCCTCTAACTAAAGAAGTAAAACCAAATAAAATCCTTAAAAAAGTAATTAAAATTTTAACTGGCGCCATACTACTAAAATTATTTTTGCTGTTACGGGGATGCCAGGATCATTCTACGTCGAAACAGCGTGTAGGGGCGGACTGATCAATGTTGGTTCTACGTGAAATCTACTACCGTTTGGCACTAGATGATCGACTCGATCATCCACGTCGTGTCGAGGTGGTTCGACCACGTCCCAGCTATGTGGATTCGATATGGGTGTTCCCATGGGGTATATGATGTTTGATGGTCTCTGGTGGGGCAACTCGTTAAAATAAAATCCTGGGGGTAAAATATGTGTCCTTTGGAGCCAAAGGTCTATCTACAACTCTGCCTTTTGGACGACTCAGGTGTCAGCACCGCAGGCCTAGGTAGATGTATGCCAGGCGCGTCGCAGCGTAACAGTGTTTCGCGAGATATCGCGAAGCCTGTTACACGGGACGTGGGCTGGCGTACAATTACCTAGTTTTATATGGGTTTACTTGTTAACCGTATAATTTGACGTGAAGACAGAAATTGGTGAGGCCAACAACTGCTGCTACACTAGCTATTTGTACGCCAGACCACGTCTCGCGTAAAAGGCTTCACGATATCCCACGAAACACTGTTACGCTGCGACGCGCCTGGCGCACATAAAGCTAGGCCTGCGGCGCTGACACCCGAGACGAGTTAATAGGAGTGTAAACGGAAATAGAGCCTGCCGGTCCCCAGATTTGACATGTTCAAAGCATTTGACGGGGGCTTTACACTCGCATATTAGGGACATGCAACTTCTGATACAGATATTCATTAAATGTTCCACTTTGACAGATTGTAATGTGAACATCAACACTTAAGTGAATGTAGATAATCTAGGGACCCTTGAGCCCAAAGGAGAGTGTGGTCCGACCCCAAATGTGTTGTTTAAGTACAACTCCCTTTACAATTTTTTTACATGAAGCCTTGTTTATAAACAAGGATTTAATAGACTATTTAGCCTTTTTATCTTGTGTTCGCCAAGAAAATGCCCCCTCGCACTAAAACAGTACAAGTGCCCTAAGGGCTCTCCTTTGACGATTTACCCCTTTGGAGCCCATAAGAAAATGTTTGAAACAAACATTTACCGACTTGTGGTTTTTCAATTTTTTTAAAAGTCAATTTTTGAGTTAGAATGCTCTTCTTCGAACTTGATCTGTCTTTTTAGGATACGAAGCGACCCTGAAATTCCCAGGCCCCTGTCTCAATAGGGTATTGGTCTAGAGCGCTGAGCGGAAGTAGAAGAACAAAAACGGAAGGTGGAAAGGCGCTCGGGCCGTCCCCCTCTCCTCCACTGGGCGGAGTGGGGGAGGGCAGGCGAAAAGGAGTGCGGGCGCATTTCCATCTTCCGTTTTTGTTCTTCTACTTCCGCTCAGCGCTGTAGACCAATACCCTATTCGTTCTCGAGTTATCGTACGTACAAACACACAAACCGAATGAAGCATTTTCGATCAGTGGAGTAATGAGCTTCGCTAATCGCTCAATCAACACCTCCGTGAAGTTAGCAGGACCCAAACAGCCCGCCCACAGACCACATGGTGGCATCGATCAGGGGCCGCGGAAGTGGGGTGCAGGGGGGGCCAAATGCCCCCCCCAAAATCCGACAGGGGGGGCGAAGCCCCCCCCCGTTTTTCTATCCTAAGCGCAGATGTTCTCCAATTTGTGTTCTGAATTTTGTTATGAATGCAGTAGAACTACAACTCTAAGTCATTAATAAGATATTAAAAATATGATTTTTGAGGGGGCCACCGCTCGCGTAATCCTGTGTACCAAATTTTAATATTATTAGCACTAATATCACTAAATTTCACCTTATTGTCCAAATTTAATGGTTTTAAAGCCTGAAATTCAACAAAATTCAAGTGTAATCCCTCAAAATTCATGTGTAATCCCTGTAATCACGTAATCCTGTGTACATCCTAAATTGAAGTGGTGGCCCCTCTCGTGATTTTTTGCATTAAAATCTGTGTTTGCATTCAAACCCTCAACAAAATGCACTGTCAGCGAGGCACCACGCATTACCTTTAGGCGTGTGCGCCTGGTAGGTAGGCAACCCACACAACACGCCCCAAGTCAGCCCCCCCCCCGCCGCGAAGCACTTCCGCGGCCCCTGGCATCGATTGTTTTCGATCAGGAGAGTAAAGTTTTTGATTGATTCGCGGTTCGGCTAAAGCATTCTCTCAAAACAAACGAAGGTACTTTTGGGGGTGGAAGTTTCCCGGACCCGACGTATCTCGGGTACCAGCAGTCCTAAATACACAAAAAAAAAACGACAAAATGCGTCATTTTGTTAGTTTTACATTGTTTTATACTTACTTACCATTCATTTGTAAGACGGACACTTAGCACTCGGCTACCGCTAATGGGTCCCGTCAAATTCGCACGCCACCAAAACTGATGGCAGAGTAAATTAAATGCAGTGTACCTTGACAAGTTTTGTTAGTTTTAAATTGTTTTGGACTCCAGAACAATCGTTCAGTGCTACTTTCTTGAATTTATCGTGTTAGCTAACTGCGGGTCAAGTTATATTCACACAATGCAACTGCAAAGACGAAAAGCTCCGGAACTGGTCTGAAAAGACTCTTTTTAGTTTGTTTAACATAGTTTAGCTCTCAGATCGCCCCCCTTTTAAAACAATGTAAAACTAACAAAATGACGCATTTTGACGTGTTTTTAGCAGATGATACATTTGTAACTGAAACTTTTAACATTTCACGTAACTGGAATTAATAAGAATGATTTGTCAAATGTGTCATTGCTTGTACTCTCATGCGTAGTGCAGAGAGGCACAAGGCGTGACGTCACCAGAAGAATACAGGGCGGCTTGGTGTTGGCCCCGCCGTACGCGCCACGGCTACGCAGCCCCCCTCCCCTCCGGCAGACTTGGCTCGGCGCTCGGCTGGAAGCAGGTCGGAGCTCGGCTCGGGACGGCTCGGCTCGGGCGCGCGGCGCGGAAATTCAAACTCTGACCCAACTATGAAGTGACAGAACTGAATCACTCTAAACTGGTTGGCGTCTTTTAACGCCAAAGAATTGGCGTTCTGTGATAACGCCAGAAGTTGGCGTTCAAAGACGCCAACATTTGGCGTTCGAAGGAGAAGAACGCCAATATTTGGCGTTAAAAGACGCCAATATTTGGCGTTTTTCGGAAAAGAACGCCAATATTTGGCGTTCTTTAAAGGACGCCAATAATTTGGCGTTAAATGACGCCAACCATTTTACAGTGATGAGTTCAGAAGTATTACTTGCAAACTATGTCTGTCTCTACATCCCTCTTCACACTAACTTTGTCCTAGACCCTTCAAAACATTACAAAGAATACGAGAAACAGAACCAAACAAAATCTTTTTTAGGTATAAATATATATATTTAAATGTAAACTAAGATTTGTAAATTATCTATATACTTATACTTGTGCAAGTAATGCGACCCGTGAGCTCCCCACTGAAATATTATAGACTTGAATATTCCTTGATTTTTATCATCTGCTTTCACGATCCGTTCCTGGACGGAACTTTTTTACAAAGATTACAAAAATACTTCTTATTTTAGGTGGAAATGGTACAAGAAGAGAGTTTCGTATGTGCTTGTTTATTTTATAATTCATCTTATTAGTTACATAATTTTAATTATCAGAACGCGTGCCATGTCAGATCTGAAAAACGCACAAACAAAACAAGTATTTAAAAACTCATGAAATAACGACAAAATAATTAAAGAGTAATGCAAAATTCACTCACCATCTATAACAGGGCGATCGCGGAGGGTTTGTTGCAGTTTTTGAAATCGTTTGTAGTCTTTCTGTCAACTCTTGATTGACCTTCCTCTCCGCTCTTAAACTTTCTTGCAAATCGCGTACCCGTTCTTCTGCTCTTTCTCTTTCATCCCTTTCTCTCCTCAGCTGCTCCTCTACTTGCTCTACCGTTGCGCGCCCTTCCTCAATTTGTTTTTGTGCTGCATCCTTTTCCCTATTCCTGCTTGTCTTGATTCTTAAAATCTCTTGCTTCAGCTCATTTCTCTCCTTTTCGAACCTCTCTTCTGCCTCATTCCCATTCTTCTTTCTCAATTCGTCTCTCTCCTTCCTCAATCTTTCCACTTCTTCCTTCAGATCTTCTCTGTCCCTCACCACAGCCTCCATCTTCTCTTCCATTTCCTTCATCTTCCTTCGCTGGTTCATACTCTCCTCTATCCACCCTTGCTCCCTTTAGGTGGCCTCCAGCAGCAATTTGTGGTACTTTAGATAGTCCTAATGGATAACAAAAATGAATATAATTAGGCGGTCAGTTGGTAAAAGAGAGATTTTCAGGGTTTTGATTTCAGCACATTATTAGAAATAACTCCTTTTGAGACCTCTTGTACCCAAAACTGATCAATATGCTGTTAAATATAGTTTACTTATTCCTCATAGGCCATTGGATTGAAAATAACATATTTCATTAGTCTGATTGACTCATCCATTATTGCAATTGATGACATTTGTGCTCGTTAGGTAAAAAGTTTCCTCACAGAATTTCTCTAGGAAAAAACTGACTTAGAAATCTGCTCTTTTTTTTTTTTTTTTTTTTAGAATCAATTTCTCAAGGGCTGCAAATTGACACAGAGACTTAATTGCAAAATGAAAAGAATTCAGTTTGCTTTTTATCTAAAGAACACAATGTGGCGGCTTTCCATACCATACGGATGAGTCAATCTGACTAATCAAATGTTATTCTAAGTTGAATGACTTAAAAAGTACACTATATTCAACACCACATTGATTGTTTCAGGGATAAAAGGTCTCAAAAGGATCTATTTCTAAAATAGCTGTCAGTAGTCACAAGAGTTGTAATTTTAAAAATGTGTCAGAGTTTGGTATTTACCTCTGCTGTGTCTGCTCGAGCTGCCCCCTCTGTCTCTCTGGATGTCTCCTCTGTGGGTCCATCTACCACTATCTGTGGTACCATTTCCTCTTCCTTATCACTCCTTGGATTAACCCTCCTCCTTGTTTCAGTGTTTACAAATTCTAAATTGGGTTTCTGGTAAAGAAAAGGGAAAAAGAAATAAAAAGTTTAATATACACACAGAAGAAACAACGAAAGAAATGACACATGTAGCATACAGGGCACGAAATTTAAAAAACAACCTACCTTCTGCTTGTTTTTTGGTGTATTTAGGACTGCCGGTACCCGAGATACGTCGGGTCCGGAAAACTTCCACCCCCAAAAGTACCTTCGTTTGTTTTGAGAGATTGCTTTAGCCGAACCGCGAAACAATCTAAAACGTTACTCTCCTGATCGAAAACAATCGATTCCACCATGTGGTCTGTGGGCCGGCTGTTTGGGTCCCGCTAACTTCACATAGGTTCAATCAACAACCTTCAAAAGCTAGGCTTCGAAAAAGATGAAGTTGATAAAACTAGCTATATGGATGCCAGACCACGTCTCGCGTAACAGGCTTCGCGATACCTCACGAAACACTGTTACGCTGCGACGCGCCTGGTGCACATAAAGCTCGGCCTGCGGCGCTGACACCGAATGTGTGGTGAAAGTATTACTTCCCTTACAATCTTTCCATAGAAAGCCTATTTAATGATTTTATAGGCCATTTGATGATTTACATCTTATTTTCGCCAAGAAATGCTTCCTAGCCCCCAAACAGTACAAGATAGAGCAAAATAGACGAAATTTCCACCTAGAGATCTCTACTTTAAAGAGTTTCTCTTTGGGAACATGTTAAAATATAGTTGACAAAAATACATTTTAAAACCTGTGGTTTTTGATTTTTTGAAAAGTCCATTTTTGAGCTAGAGTTGTCATCTCCGAACTTGATCTGTCTTTTTATGACACAAAACTACCCTTAAAATTTCAGATCGCTAACTCAATTCCTCCTCGAGTTGTCGTGCATACAAACACACAACCTGAATGGAGCTCTTCCGGTCAGTGGAGTAATGGGCTTCGCTAATTGCTCAGCCAATAACTTTCTAATTACGGAGGCAATGTGGTGTCACCTCTGAAGGCCGTTTTTCGCTCGGACTGCATGGGTCACGCTATTAATATCTGCTTGAGAAATTGTCTTAGCATTAAGTACCACGGGCTATTGGGGAAGTGCTTTAAAGCCAGCGATCACCCCATTCCTTACTGCATCATCAGTTTATGCCACGAAGCAGTGCGTCACATCACACGTATCAAGGGCAGAGAGAGTAATAGGAGGTTAGCCAACATGAAGAAGTCGTTATGCTTGTTTAGAAAGCAGCAAAACTGACTTTAAAATGCTGCAGTCCGTAATGGCGCATTTTCATGTGGCGAGTACGACGTAGTGGGTGCCCCATAGGGTAAGGTGCCCTAATGTGGCCACTGTCCATTGATGGCCACTTTTCTCGATTTCCAGCCAATCTAGTCACTTTACAATCTTGGCCTTGCAGTTGTGTTCTAGTAAGGTCCCTACTTGGGCATGATAAGCCAAACTACTTCACATCGTTGTCTACATTTCGAGAAAAAGGGGTGGCCATCATTGGGCAGGCCCATTCTTAAGGTGGCCATCATAGGGCATCTTACCCTAGGTCTATGTTATTTGTTCAGGGTAGCCCGCGGGCGCGGTGTGTTAAGTCGCGGATCACCCCCGTGACCCCGCACTCAACCTGTAGAACGTGCTATGGCGGGTCTGCCTCCCTACTCGGAATAACGACGCCGATGGGCAACCCTGTGTATGTTATTCGGGCGTGTCAGGTTACCTCCTCGCTCTGCAACACAAAGCGCAAGAATGGTAGAAGGACTACAGAGAATATGGGACGCTTGGTCGAGGTGACGGGCCGTAGAGGCCCGTATTTTTGTGTACATTTCGCCACTACCCGATTAGGGTGTCAGCGCCGTTGGCCAAGGTGGATGTATGCCAGGCGCGTCGCAGTAACAGTGTTTCGTGAGATACCGCGAAGCCTGTTTCAGGCCATCCTTATAGGTAACGCGTGAAAGTAGAACCCTCCGGGCGGAAATTTCGTCCGTTTTGCTCTATCTTGTACCGTTTTGGCGCTATGGGTCATTTCTTGGCGAAAACAACGTGAAAACGACAAAATGGCCTATTGAATCGTAAAACAGGATTTATGTCACAGAATTGTAAAGGAAGTAATACTTAAACCACATATTAAGGGTCGAACCACACCCTCTTTTGGGCCAAAGGGTCTCTAGATTATCTAGTATCACTTAAACGTTGATTTTTACATAACAATCTGTCAAATTTCGAACTTTTAATGAAAACCGTTATCAAACAGCACAAGTTTTATGTCCCTAATTTTAGAGTAATAAGACCCCGTCAAATGGCTCGAGTATGTCAAATTTTGAGCCTGGAAGGCCCTGTCCCCCTATATCCTCCCATTTGCTCGTCTCGGGTGTCAGCGCGGCAGGCCTAGCTACATGTGCGCCAGGCGCGTCGCAGCGTAACAGTGTTTCGTGAGGCATCGCGAAGCCTGTTACGCGAGACGTGGTCTGGCGTACATATAGCTAGTTTAAACTGTTTTCTTTTCTATACAACGTTCGCTTACTAACTTACCCCTAGCAATGGAGCAGTGGTTTCGTGGCAACTTACCATTAGTAGAGGTGCTCGGAGTAGCTGCTGGAAAATTCAAACATTGTTAGACTTTAAACTTCTGATTTTCCTTCCTCTATTCCGAATGAGCTAAGGAGCTCCTCGATGTCAACAGCAGCTATGGACTGATTTACTCAGAGCACGGCCACGAGGTGTGCAGATGAAGTGCTAGAACAGGCAAAAATGGATGGCTTCTTCGAAACCTAGTTCTTTAAAGGTGCAAGGCCACAACCCTATTCCACT